AAAGAGCCAGCATGGTTTCACTAAAGGAAAGTCTTGTTTAACAAATCTTCTGAAATTCTTTGAGGATGTTACTGCAAGAGTTGATGTAGGTAATATTGTAGATTTGGTTTACCTTGATTTTCAGAAAGCATATGATAAGGTGCTCCACAAAAGACTTGTTACAAAAATTAAATCTGTGGGTGTGGGGGGAAATGTTATTAAATTGGACAGAAAATTGGCTGGAGAGTAAAAAGCAGAGAGTAGAAAAAAATGGAGTTAGAAGTGACTGTATCACACTTATAAGCCGTATGCCTCATGGCTCTGTGCTGGGTCCTCTGCTGTTTGTGATTTATAATAATGATATTGACTCTGGAATGACTAACAAAATTTTGAAGTTTGCAGATGACATTATGATTTTTGAGGTGGCTAACTGTGTCAAAGATGCTGCAGACTTACAGGGAGATTCAGATCATTTGATGCATTGGGCCAATATGTGGCAGATGATGTTTAACTATCCAAAATGTATGGTGATGCATGTAGGTTTTTACAATTCAAATTACTGATACAATTTAAATAGGGATACATTAAATATTGTGGTTGAAGAAAAAGATCTTGGTGTTATGATAAAAATCACTTAAGTCCTAAATAGGGCTAATAGGATTTTGGGTAGCATCTATAGAAACACTGAATACAAGACAAGGGATATTATTGTTTTGTGTTTATCAGTGAAAGCAATAGGACAAGGGGTCATAAGTTCAAATTTTGGCAACATAGGAGTCATCTGCAGTTTAAACAGTATTACTTATCAAACAAGGTGGTTGGCTTTTGGAATGAGCTGCCTTTAAGAGTAGTGGATGCCATTTTAACTATAAGTTATTGATTTCCCCTTTTAATCTCTTTTAATGTGCCATCGTACAATACTACCAATGGCAACTCATTCTACAAGCCAATCACAGAAAAACAAAACTAAATTAACTCAAGCCTAACCTGTCTTTCCCAAATCTTAAACTTGTGTCCTTTCATCACGTTGTCTTCAGAATATAACACCAAGAATTCAGAGGCCTTTATCCTAGTAATCCTCCAGATAATCTTGTTAACTTCAATAAGATCATCTTTTACCCTTCTTTTCCCAAGAAACATTAAGGTAAGAGATATTAACCTATCCTCATAAGATTTAAACTTTCTGTTGCTGGAATTTTTTTAGTAGCCCTTATCTAAACTCTTTCCAATAAATTAACATCCTTTCTCAGACAAAAAATGTACATAGTATTCAAGTGAGGCCTAACTATCAATTTATATAAAAAAATAATCACCTGTTATACAAATGTAATTAATAAGTCTATTAACACACTAAAATTTTGTTAGTTTTGATACTGCAAACAAAGCCCCAACTTGATTGCTTGAGTGACTTAACCATAACTGTGTCAAGATCATTTTCTTTAGTCATGCTGTTAGGTGGGTTCCTATCTATATTACATGTGTAATCCTAATTATGGTAACCCAACTGCATCATCTTTCACTATAATCATACTTGCCAACTTTTCAAAATTCCCATGGGGGAGAATTTATGTAACTCATGGCAAATCAAGCAATTTACAAGCACACGAACAATCACGTTTGGTTTAATGTACAAAAATGTTAATTATAGTTACACAAATTGGTAATTTCCAGAAAAAAAAAATCTGTGTATATGCCCGAAATTGGTAGAAATGACCAATTTTTAAAACCTGATCATAGATCAGGTTAAAGGTCCAAATTCGAGAAACTCCTACCTAAATCGTGAGAGTTGGTAAGTATGTATAATTATAATTAAAGATCATTCCCAAGTATAAGTCCAACTAAAGACTTGATCAAAGTCATTCTAAAGTACCTCAATACAGTTAGAAATATCACAGATTTTATTGTCATCTGCAAACTTTATTAATTCGTTATTTATGTCCCCATTAATATTATCATAGGTACAAAAAACCAAAGGCCCAAGCACTGACCCCTGAGGTATTCAGTTAACAAAAAGGGTCCAGTTTGAATGGACTCTATTAATAACAACTTTTTGCATTCTCTCATACAACCATCCTTCAATCCAACTTACTAATGTTTTACCAATCCCTACCAATGTGATTACCTTAACACTTTGAAAAATTAAGTATATCAAATCCATAACTTCATCATCTGCATAAGACAGTTCCTCAAAAAATTTTGACAGATTAATAAGTGAATAAGTACAGCCTATAGGTTGTATCTGAATGTACATATGCACAACAGAGCCATCCACAAAATTTTAAGATCACCAATTATCACTCTCTCCCAATATACTCCCACAAAATACTAACTATTATTACACATCTGTCCATAACTTGTCAATATTGAACTGTAGTGTAAGTTATTGTTTATAGTTAAAAACATATCCTACCTTAACACAAGTACTACCAGTATTACACTAACGACCATAATACTACTACTAATACGAACAAAATATGAAATACAAGAACTTCACGTTTCATCTTGCGCTTCAGAATACAGAACAAGACATCACAGTCAAGTTATTTTATAAAATAACAGCTCCACTTACATGTACAACATTACTAGGGAAGCATTCACATATTGCTGAAATGATATAACTGAATTATTCGAGTTACTTCTCATATTCGGTGGTGCTACCTAACAAATATTAAAAATTACTACAAAAATATGATAGAATTAGAAGTCAGAGTTCAGAAAAATGTTAAAGTTAACAATATGAAGGCCTAGAAACAATGTGTTTTCAATTTCAATATACATTTATGTTAATTAATTAAATATAGAGTGGAATTTGTCTATTGCAATGGAAAGATAAGTTTATCGCATATAAAATCAGTTATGCTTCATCGTGAAAATTTCATTGATTTAGTAGAATAAAAAACACACAAACGACCTTTACTTTCCAGCTAATAATAATAATTTAAAATTCAGCAAATGTTTCGCCATTGCGGCTTCTTTAGGGCTAGTAATACAATAATTGCATCAGGATTTAATAATTGCAATACATAATTTAAATCACAATTATTTAACATAACATTAAGGAACAACAAATGATCTTTTGGTCCATTTAGACCGTCCCATGTAAACTAAACACTAAACAACTCAAAGCCAGCCCTTATCATTCTAATATTTATCAATCTTTCCCTTAAACTTCATTAAATTAACTGCATCCATCACATCCGAAGGCAACCGAAGTCTTAGCTGAAGATGACTCTTACCTTCTAAAAGTTATATTAATGTCCCCTAGTCTTACCATTCTCACCATTAAATACAAAAAAATGATGCATTAGCACTATCAATTTCCTTAACAATATTACACACTTAAGTCATATTCCCCTCTAACTCTTCATTTTTCAAGAGAAAATAATTTGAGAGCCTTTCCTCGTATGACAACTTTTCCATCCCAGGTATCATCCTTGTAGTCCTTCTCTGAACCCTTTCTAGCAATTTGATGTCTTTTCGAAGGTAAGGAGCCCAATACTGAACACAATATTCCAATGACCTATATAATGACATTATAATATCTTTAGACAAGTATTCAATATTTCTGTAGATACAACTAAAATCCTCTTTGTCCAGCCACTAGCAAAAGCACAATCCTTGGATGACGTAAGAGATTGATCAACTAGAATATCAAAATATTTTGCACAATACTGTTAAAGATATTCCCATCAAAATTGTACTAATAATTCAAATTGTGATACCCCACATGCATTATATTGCACTTATTATAATTGAAAGCCATCTGTCATTTATTCGCTTAACTCACCAAATAATATAATTCTTTTTGTACAGCAATAGCATCCTCCTCACAGCCAGTAACATTCCAAACTTTAATGTCATCAGCAACTTTAAATAATATAGTAAGTATTCTTTCATCTACATTACTAATGCAAATATAAAAGCAAAGGTTTTAACACTGAGCCCTGAGGTACCACACTTGTGACAGTAATAATAATAATTAAACGTGGCGGGAATTTAGTTTGAAGGAAGAAAAAGCAGCATGATAGTTGGTTGCTCTTCCCAACAGATGTGCTCAGGAACGGTTGTTCCCCCATTAACCCCACGCGTGAGATTAGTTTACAACAGTGGCCATAATCGCGATTATAAGCATTGACGAGGAATTTTTGACAGAAGAAGCTGTGAAGAAAGTCGGCAGAGGCAAGATGAAGTTCTTCTTTTCCGGAGGTGGTGGTGACAGAAAGATCCAGACATGCATTCGGAGTATTAAAGTTACATCGTATGGATTTAGGAGTTAATTTTTACTTTAATTTGACTTTATTGAAATGGATTTTATAGAAATCATTTGAATTAAAGTGAAATTCGATTTGAGACCCTTTTCGGAGGGGGGGGGGGGCTTCGGTCCAAAGCCAGTTTGAATTTGTAGTCCAGTTTAACAGAACTTCATTTATATCAACTCTCTGCTTATTTTCATATAGCCAGTTTTTTATTCAATAAGGCAACCTATCTTACACACCTAAAGAGATAGCTTTTTAACAAGCCTTTTGTGTGGCACCTTGTCAAATGCTTTCTAAAAATACAAATAAACCAAATAGACACCCATACCGTCATCTACGTAAGTAGTAAGCTCTTCAAAGAATGCCAAAAGATTTGTAAGCAAGGGTCTCCCCAAGTGAAACTATGCTGACTATCCAAAAAAATTTTAAACTTTGCTGAATGATCTTGCAAAGCATCTTTTATCAAATTTTCAAAATTTTTCCCACCACTAATTTAAGATTAATAGGCCTATAACTACTGGAACAATTTTTTATCACCTCTCATGAAAAGATGAGTAACATTAGTCAACTTCTAATCTTCTGGCACCTATTCACTATTCAAATACTTAGAAGAAAATAATACCAAGTGTCTCACATATCCGATTCTTAGCCCCTTCCAAAACCACTGGGTAAATATTATTTAGCCCAGGAGCTTTATCATTATTTAAACATTTCAATTTTTTTCTTAACAAGATCAGAATTAATGTGACTATTACTATTGCTAAAATATTTCCTACATGCTTCGGCTACATTTGTTCGGCCTATCATCAGGCAGGACGAGTAAATAAATTAAATTTCATTGATGACCAATGACATCTGATACACTAGAGGCACTTAACCTTCCAACGATCCTAATTTACTGTGTTGTTGTTTGAAGTTAAGCACAAAGGTACATAATGGGCTATCTGTACTCTTCCCACCACAGGTATCGCAACCCGGTTTCTAGCATTGTAAGTCCACAGACATACCGCTGTGCCACTGGGGGCCTTAATTCACTGTGACTTAGCTAGTAGTTTTTGTAAAGATAGCAAAACGGTTTCATCTTGCGGCCCTGCAAAGTTAGGAGCGAAACAAAAAAAAAAATCGCTTTATCATTTTGTCACACTTTGTGTAAAATATGTATTTCCGATTCACAGATTGACACTGAAAATAAAAAATATCAAAGATGTATTGTTTGTTTCCAGTGATATAAAGTACAGGATGAGAAAATTGTAAATTACCAATTCCATTAAAGAAAAAAAAAAAGAGGACGAGGAATAGAAATGTCAGACAAACGTACACATTAACAAAATTATTGATGTTGCATCTTGAAAATCGTATAAAACATTTATTTACAGTTACCGGTCGAGAAATTTCGAAAGATAAAAGGCCAAATATTCCTTTATCCTGTTATATTCTAAACTTAATAAAGTCGCCCCCCAGTGGCACAGCGGTATGTCTGCGGACTTACCACGCTAGAATTCTGGTTTCGATACTCGTGGTGGGCAGAGCACAGATAGCCCATTGTGTAGCTTTGTGCTTAATTAAAAACAAACAAAACTTAATAAAGTAAGATAATGATAATGTGTACCAACCTTACTTGTGTAAAACAGTTTTGAAAAATAAAACGCAAGAAACACATTCGTTTTACTGGGACATTTAACAACTTTCTGACACATATATATATACATAATAGAGTTAAAACAACTCGTTCGTTGGCCCATGTTTATTTGAACGCAAATATACATAAAGGTAAACTATGCTGTGTCAACCGCAGAGAATCTAACCCTAAATTTTAATGTTATGTATTCTAAAGTTTACCTCTGAGCTACAGGAGGACAAATTAAAGCAGGGAATGGGAACCGTGACTTTGAATATGCCAACCCTGAAATTTTTGTTGAATTCCACCACTCCATGATTCATATAACTAACTCCACATGATTTAGCGAGTGCGCCTGTAATACAGGAGTATATCAGTTATCTAATATCTCAAACTTTTGAAAGGAAAATAATATTACATATCTCCCTAAAACTTGATTAATTTATTTTAAAAACTGGAAGTACTTCACATTACTATTTAATTGACTGCCCAGTCTCCTTTGTCCCCGTCCTGACTTTGGGCAAATCTTTCATACCTCTCCAGGAAAGCATCCATGTTATCTTTCTGTTCACCAAATTTGGGCAGTTTGGTTCAACTGTCCCTAACTTTACTGTCATTCTTGGGTCTTCTGTCTTTTATTTGGGTGAGTTTGGTGATCTTATTTTGTGCTCCTATTCTCTCTATTTCCACTGTCTCCTCTCTCTCCTTTTCTTCTTTCTTTTCGTACCTTCTCTGTTGACGCTATATATATGTTATAGTGAGTAATTTACATTTAATTTCGTAGTTTATGGAGAGGTGGTGGATAAAATAGAGATGAAAAGATACCTACAGAAAATATGTCACGTGTGTCACACTAGAGGAAATTTAAGATTTTTTTTATATATATCACCTTATAAAATTAAGAACTTAAAGATTATATACTATTAAAATATGGATTATTAGTTAATATTTTATGCTATACTAATTGGAATAACATAAACAAAAAGTAGTTTAATAAATTTTGAATGTAAGACACTAAAACCGTGTGTCATGTGCAGTAAAGGATATCTGGGGCGAGAGGGTTATATTGCACAGATTCCCAACTCACACTAATAGTGTCTAAGAGGTCAAACTCAAATGGCGTTAATAAACATTGATTGTCAGAAAATACAAAGGGCAGAAGAGGTCATCACGTGGTCAAACAACCAGTCTCCCCCTTAAAAGTCTGGAACTAGAAATTTTTGTAACACACACACACACACACACACATATATTACCAGTTTGTAATAATATGTACAAAACTAAAGTCATGGCACTTTCTCATATGCATATTAATTTTTTGGACAAATCAGAAATTCTATTTCGTATTTAAAAAAAAAAAATTAAAACCAGTTTATGTACACTATAATATTTAAACTTATTAGCTCATTAATATACAATTTCATAGACAAATTAACTTAGTTTATGAACATTGTGTGCAACTGCTGTATTTCAACCATACTTTACAAAAAAAAAGTATATACACTAGTCAGTTATAACAGGTGATATATTGTCTAAACTTTGTGTCCTTCATTAATTACATTTGTATTTATACACAGCACTCCTTTAACTGTATTCTTTTTCACATAGTTCATGAAAGTTAATTTGCTTGCATTAGAT